GAGCAGGGGCTGCTGGGAGCCTTAAGAAAATAAATAACACCTACTTCTAAGCTTTATTTCCTAAAGATCTCAATTTTAAAATTATGATTCAAAATGTGAATGATTTTTACCTCGTTTTGATAAAGTCAATGAATCCTGTCTGTAATCGGTAAAAGCCAAATAGGCACTCATTTAATCTAATTTAATTTTAATAGGTTATCATTTACCTTTAACTGATATTCAAACATATTAAGGAATAATATAAAGCAGAGTGTTAATGTAAAGGCACTAAAATACTCTGCATAAAGTTGTGTTTCTTCAAAAAAGAATGGATAGATTTATCTGGAATGCAACTTGAAAATATCGGGCATCTATTCAATTAGTATGACAACATCAGAACCTGAATAGCTCCAAATTATTATAGATGGTATTCTCACATGCATGGTGGGTGGGGGGTTTAAGCCCCTCTCTTCTAGCAGCAGAGTGCTAGGCCCCCCCATCTCTAAAGCCCTGAGCTCTAAAATTCTCCAGAAGAGAATTCCACAAAGCCCAAGATGCCATCAACCAAAGGATTAATTACCCAGTTATTTTAAGCTGTTTGCATGCAAGTGTTTTCCACTCACATCTACTTGTGATCCAATCCTTTTTTGTTATCATCAGTCCTATTAAGGGCTTTTGCTATTAAAACACACTTAAGGCGTTCGTGACAATCTGAAGTAACATTTCATAAAAATATGCTGCCATTACAGTATGACAAAGTTAAAAAAGCTTCTTATTTTCATTACTAGTATGGTCTTTTACTTTATTTTTAAAACATCAGTGTTTTTCTATCAAGTGACAATACAGAAAAGGGAAATGCAAACAAATTTTGAAGAACAAACCAAATAAAAACCAAAGAATGGTTATACCACAATAGCTATGTGTACAATATTAACCTTAACCGTCATCCTTCTCTGATCTGGAACTTTTCAGACATGTTGGACTACAAGTCTCATCATTTGCCTCTGACTGGAAATAATCCCCAACATATCTCAGGAGTATCAGTTCTGGGAAGTTTACCTTAAACTATAGGCTAATTTTACCAAAAAAAATTGTTTAAAAAAATGGCTTTATAATTTGCTACCAATATCCTTTGTAGTTGAATATATGTACACCCAAAAATCCTACAATTTACACAATTCAGTTGCAAAATATCCTAAGTCACTGATAATGACAATGTGCCATCAAGTTGGTACATTAACTGTTGTCAACTCTTAACAAGCACATGGATAAACCTTCTGCAGAAAGATCTGTCCTCGGCCTAGTATCTGAAGTCACTGGTAAATATTTAAAAACTCAGATATTCATACACAATTTGGATTGCTTTTTCTACTATATTGCTGTTTCAAATTTCATTTAAGTCAAAAGTTGAAAAAATATACTCTCCCTCACATTTAAAATGTTTCTATTGAAAGGAGAGAATTTCCACTAAACCCTTAATTCAGTAGGGCTGTTATATTAATCATTTTATATTCTGAAGATGTAAGTGGGCACAAGTAAAACAAAACTATGGCTGAATATGTTATGTCTGAGAAAACTAAAAATTTCCAGCTACTTAACTACCTAAGGGTTTCTTGTCTTCGGAATTGATAAACCATTATTCCTTATTTTTAGTTGAAATCAATTTTCATGATTTTATTTACAGCATTTGTCACTTTTACTGGCATAGTTTAGTTATAATTTTCAACTATCTTAATCATGGGTATTACCCTTGCTTTCTAGAAAAATTTCCAGATAAAATTTTTCTACATATGAAAACCATTAATAAAAATGCTTCTCTAAAGTGAAGCTAGATTGATTTGTGATTGGTCTCAGGGGAGCTGGAAATTTATATGGAATAGGATTCAGCAGAAATGAGAATCATAGAAATCTTATTTACTTCACACTATAGCAAAGTCACTACTTAATAAAATCTACATCCTTCAAGATCTGTTCTGATGTATATAATATCCTAAAAGTATACATTCAATAAAAATAATGGTCATAAACAAGGGGAGAGCAGGTAAGGCCTTGCTTCTGATTTACCAAGTGATGTTCCACTTGTGCTATATACATCGAAAGATCTGTATTTCTGTAACTGCTAAGTGGCTATGAGAAATTTAACAAATTTTTACTGTTTTTTAAGTTAAGCAAAGTGTTATCTTAAGTGTGCCATTATTTGTCTTCTTATCCCAACCAAAGTATAGAAGTTAAAAAAACTCCTTGTTATGGGAGGTGACGCTGCAGGAAGAGTAAAGCAGGAAAGCATCTTATTTAAATATATAAAGGTCCCCTGTAAGCCCAATATTTACTTGATAAAAAAGCCAATCATTCAGCATTATGATTTCTGTGAGATCTCAAAAAATCATCAATATGAGATCCTATTCTGAATCAGTTGGGCTTCCTGTATATTCTTACATATTAAAGTTAGGGCTTTAGGGAGAGGCCTTACTTGAATCCTTGATTGTATATATTGCATATAGAAAACCTCTCTCTCTTCCCAGTTAAAATGTTTTTAGGCAGAATATGATAGGGAATATATAGAGGAGCCTGTAGATTTGTTCATCATCCTAGAAGAAAATACAGCTCAAGATGGACAAGTAATTTCATTAACATGTTCATTCCTTCTCTGGAGATTAAGCTTTTTCAATTCACAACTACTTGGGATATTCTCAACAGAAAATGGAATAGGTTCTCCTTCTCCAACTACAAAGACTAAGAAGAAGTAAAATCAGAATACAGGTTTCTCACTTATTCAGAGGAGTGAGTCTTCACACCAATTCTAATCTTGTTTTTCATAGAAAAACAGATAGATAATTTTTACCTCTGCATTTTCATGCATGGGAACATGTTTTACATTCTGAGCATACTGTAACTTTTCATAATATGTTTGATAACTTCCCACAGATAATTAATAAGAAAATGTTTGTTTTTCTTCTGAATTAGTTTTTTTCCCAATTGGGACTATAAATATATCTCTATACATGACCTAAACTGAGACAGTCCAGTTTATACCTTCATTCTTCTTTGTGTAAAGATCTGGATAACATTTCCAAATAAATTCTCAGATAGAAGTGTTTAACTGCATTTTTCTCCTGGATAGCTGCCCTGATCACTCAACCTGCCCTATTTCTGCCAGCTTCCCAACACACTGATATGACCTTTCATGCCACAAATCCTGCAGAAAAGTTGCAGAATAGCCATAGTTGAATATGCATCAGTACAGATCTTGAAAAGAGAAAAGAGCATTAGCTGCAGAAATCTTCACATAGAGCTGTTCTGTGAACTACATTGTTTAAATATTAGTCCTTTATCTTTCTCCTCCAAAGTGGCTGAAGGGGAAAAATCATGGCACTCTAACAGGTTTTACTATTTACAGATACTTCATAGATTTACTGTATATATTTATAAATAATCATAAAGTTTTTCCTAACTCAAAATTCCAGAACAATAATGATTGCCATAGGGTATTTTCACATAAGATATGAAAAAAAATGTAGGAGACGAAATGACAGAGTCCAGACTAAGACATCACATTGATAATTGCATTTAACTGAGGCACAGGAATATCTGTTCCAATAACACTAACAAAAAAAATCATAACCTGGATTGCTGAATGAATGTGAAATAAAAGCTTGTGAGGGAAAAAGTTTCAAATGATCCACAAAATCTAAAGCATTGACAGACAAGGACCATTTACACCATACCCGTAAATACGGTTTTAATACACATTCTCCTACAGTGAACCAGGTAATATTAAATAAATATATATATTTTTTTAATCAGGTTCAATAGTGTCTATTAAAAAAACCCCTTTAAAGTTTACAGATATATAAAAATGTTTCAGATTTTACCCCTCCCAGTCCTCATAGTATTCAGATAAAAAATAGCACATGTTGTATGTTGTTTTTAATGGTCCAAAAACAGGTCCCGTTTGATAGGAGTTATTGGAGGTACTCGGCCATTCATAAGAAGCAGAAAATGGGTAGATAACTCAAAGACTTCCATCTCTTCCTATTGCTAAAGGGAGCACAGAATGCCATTAAACAATCCTAAGTTATTGTTGAGTAGCATTCATTTGTTAAACTAGAGGGTGAATTCTGGTAACTCAATACTAATGACACTATTAAGGCTGGACTTAGTGGGGGGGGCCCAAATGACTATCCAGATCCCTGCATGAATTCTCAGGCTAATTTATCAAGGTGGATGCTGCTCACTGCAACAGTTTTTCTTTTTTAAAAAACGCTTAAAAACAAATGCTCATTTTACTATTTTAATATTTACTGATTTTCTACAATAAGTGATGACTGTTCTCAAATAATATGCATGACTCTCTAAAAGGAGTGATTTAGTAAGTCCACAGTGTAAAATTATCTAATTGCCCCAAGTGCTCACTACAAATGGAAAAGGGAAGAAATTGAACGGGATAGGGATATCCTTGATTTATTGAGCACAGTTGTTGTTTTTCTTGTTGATATTATTACTCTAAGATTTCAGCTTGTATCCTATCCTTCTGTCCCAAAGCTGATCACAGACTTGCTTAGAAGCAACACTAAACCCTGGTTTAAGATTACAAAAATAAGAACGAACTTCTCCCTTCTTTTGCTCTTGCTGAATCTCCAACACCCCCAGACATTTTTATTTCCCCTTTGGATTAACCAAAGTTTACTAAATCATCCAGATTCAGATAATCACTAGTTAATCTTAAATATGATTACCTAAAAGAAGCCATTTGTAGCCATTATTTATGGATGTGGTTTGTTGACCTAACTTCCCCTAAGGTTGCCTTGCTAACTGAAGTTGAACTAAAACAGGAGCCAATGCTTTCAAACTACTTTTCACAGCAAAACAAAAGGAAAAAAAAGGATAAAATTAATCTGTATATCTCCTATGTAAGTGCTGCATTTCTGCATTCCAGGGATGGGAATTTTCTCCTCCCGTCTATGTCCTTAGATATGTAGAAATTAAAGTGAACTGTTATAGATTTGATTTTCTATACTTACAGGCAAATGAGTAAAAACTTGAAAGGTACTTCTTAAGAAATTAATTAGATCCATTAAATAGCCACTAGCTCTCCCATCAGGCTCAATCATTGTCCAATCATAGTCAGCAAGCTGGATAAATTCATCAATCTTCTGATTAAGTTTCGTATAAATCTCCCCTTCAGCAGCATGTCTTGCATCCTGAAAAGAACAGGTAATAAAATATCAGTATAGCATTACTAACTTAAGGATAATTATTTGAAGTAAATTTTGTAAACAGAACAGATGTGGGCGGGGAAAAAAAGGAAAATATTCAAATTGTAAGATATTGGAAAAACAAATTGATTACCAATATCAAATCAAGTCAAATTCTGATCCAAAAGGAGCATGATGCTTAATGCTTTGGCTCATTTTTGAACAAAGTTACATATATCTGTAAGATAACTACAGTATGCTATAAAGCAGTGGTCCCCAACCTTTCTGGGACCAGGGAAGACCATTTTTCCACAGACCGGGGGCAAGAGGAATGGTTTTGCACGCAACCTATATCTCACACATTCACAGATGAAGCTTTGCTTGCTCGTCTGCTGCTTGTGCAACCCAGTTCCTAACAGGCGCTGGACTGCTACCAGTCCACGGCCTGGGGGTTGGGAAACCCTGCTATAAAAGTTCTGAAATAATATTCAGATCTTGCTAGTTTTAAAGAAAAAAAGAATCAAGCTATTATTCAAAAGACTGCATTACTGTTTCATCAGTATAGATTTGTCTATTGCAATTTTAGAATCATGACTTTTGTATTGCTTTTTATAACTGGATGAGAAACCAATTATTTCCAGCAAGGTTTGTTATATTTTATCGCTATTCTTTACTACATCATTCTATGGTTTTAAATCTTAACATTTTAAGTACACAAAAAAAAACTAAACGCAGGAAATTAATGACCAAATGTCACAAATGAAAAAGGATGAATTTCTCATCAGTAGTGGACAGGCTGCTAACAGCGCAATTATATGTACAACTCAGAACTAGAATCACAGAGTTGGAAAACTTAGTCATTTAGGTTAAATTGCCATGTATTCTGCTTGAGTTTGGTATATTATGGAACCCTTTCAAATAACCTGCACCTTATCTAAATCTGTTCCAGAGAAACCAGAGTGACTTAGAGCAATCCGATACAGATGTCACAAATGACACACAGCATGATCCCACAGAGCAATAATATGGATAATATAGTAATCACTACATTAAAGATACTGCTTATACATATGGAACAAATTACAAATTCCTACAGAACAAAATCGAAAGACCCCAAACAACTTTTTATTGGAGAAACTAAAATAATAATTTTATTGACAGTAGTTGTTCCTCAGAATTTTCATCAAAGTAGTATTTGATTCTAAAGATGATCTACTTCTGCAGAAGAATCACAACAAGTAGTTCAAGTAACTTTCTGCAACTTGGTGCCTTCCAGTAGTTTCCATCATCCTCAATCAGCTTGATCACTGATTTGCATATCAGAGATGATGGACTATTGCCCAATACATTTATATTAGCATCAGATCCTCCCAGGCTACGTAGCATATCAGGCAGCAAGGGATCTCAAGCATTTTCGGTTTTGAGCAAGTACTTCAGTGTCTTCCCATGTGATGTTTAGAATCTTTAAGTCTTCCAGGAACATTTTTCTCCATATATTTCAAGGGCGTCCTCTTGGTTGTTTGGCAACAGGGGACTCATCTCATTGCCATCTTGGGAATTCAATTGTTCTCCATATGGAGAATATGACCTACAAATTGGAGTCTTCTGTGTGTGACAATGTTATGTAATTTGCAGGAGAAACTCTTTCTGAGCACTTCTTCATTAATAATATAGTCAAAATAGTGAGTCTTTAGGATTCACTGAAGGCATTTTTGTTGGAAGAGGCTGAGTCTCCTGTTAATTAATGCTCATTGACGCCTTCCAGGTCTCACTGGCATAAATGGCTGTTGGGATCACTATAGAGGTGAGCAAATGGAATTGAAGTTTCAGTGATATAGGTGACAAGGACCAGATTTTATTCATCCTCTGGAAAACAAATGTTGCTTTTCCAATGCAGCATCTGATGTCTCTGCATCTCCATTTCTGGTGACTATGCTTGCCAAATAGGTAAACCTTTCAACTTCCTCATGTCGCTGTGATTCAAGTGTGATTCCCCATATCTGTGTAATGAAGCTCACACACATCATCTTCGATTTCTCATCCTAAGCAGTCATCACTTCTTGTACTTTCGTCTCATCTTCCCCAAGTAAGGCAATATCATCTGCAAAATCCAGGTTACCTGGTCTTGTTCAGAACAATGAATGCCTTTCCTGGTGTGTGATATTCATCACCTAAGATCATCAAGGGCCATGAGGAAGAGGAACGGTAATAGAATACAGCCTTGTCTAACTTTGGTACTAATTTCAAAGACGTCCGTATGGCCATTTTCGGTCTTAATGCAGCAGCTTAATCATAGGTATAAGTCCCTACAGATAATAATAAAGACTGTTGGTACATCATATAAACATAGGATCTACCAGAGAGATTCTGGGTGGACACTGTCAAATACTTTCTGAAAATCAATAAAATTAATGGCCAGCGGATGTTAATATTCAATGCAATGTGCTATGATATTTTGTAAAGTGAAGATTTATTTGCAGCAGGACCTTCCACAGCGAAATCTGAATTGTTCTTCTCTCAGATGTTGGTATACAGCATTTTGCAGCAGCCTAAGGAGAATTATGCAAAAGGTCTTTCCAGACACCGAGAGGAGGGTATTTGCCCTGTCAATTGCCCAACACATCTGAAGCATATTGATTTAGCTGATATAATTAAAAAAACTCTGATAGGAACATTGAAGAAGTTACAATACAGCTTAAATGAAATAAGTTTTTCTTCATATGATCTATTGCTCTTCATATAATTAGCATTAAACATGAAACTTTCAGATTCTATGAAGAATTCATTGAAGGATTAAAAGAAAGGTAAGAAGAGTCCATAAAAAACTCCAGCCTTCCTGATTTTTCCCCCCTTGGAACAAATCCTTAAACAATACTAGATACATGTGAGGGAGACATTGCCCCAAGGATGTGTTTTGTGACTTTTTTCTACAATGTAAGGAAGGAAACTCCTACATCTCTGAACTGAACTCTTTCTGGGATATGGAAATGAAACAGATGAGCAGCTTCCATAGTGATCATATTTTATTTTATTTTATTTTATGCAGTAATGCGGGAAAGTATGAGACACATAAAAGGAACGTCCCCTCACATACAAGCTCGAGATGTGGGGAAGCCCCACTAAACATTCTCACAATCCCTATTTTGCTGTAAAGGCTACCAGCACATATATCAGGATTCTATTCACTCTAGATTCCAGGATGGGTTCTAACTTCTACAAAATATTTAGAGGAATCTTCACTCTTCAGTAGTCCAATGGAAGGAAGATGTTGAAATAAGCTAGGGCTGAAAGCTAGCTGAAGCAACACAGCTTTAACTTGTGTGGAGAATATTAAGGAAGCAGCCATGTACAAGGTAGTCCTTGTTTAGTGATTACAACTTGGACCAGCCACAAAGCAAAGTAAAGAAGCTGCTATGTGAAGATACAACTATGCTTATGATCTTACTTCAGTTTTCCTTTGCTTTGCTTTGACTTGTGAAGGTTGAAAACACGAGGATTAGACTTACTTTTCCCAACAGTCATAACTGTGAACGGTAGCTATGTGAGGGGATGTAACGGTATGTAGGAATGAATTTGGGGGATTGGGACCAGAGAGTCTGCCTACAGAATGGTGAGACAAGAGAGAGCATAATCCAGAGCTAGATAGTAGGTGGGGCAAATGGCTCAGAAGAGACCCTTCCTAATTCCTGGGGGTAAAGGAGATGGGGGGGAAATTATACTTTCAGACTTGCAAGAATCTGTTCATGTAGTCTTACAATTCTTACCAAAGTAGAATTAGCTCCTCTGATCATGTTTTTGTCTGGTCTACCTGGTAAGGCGGAGCTTTGGGGGAAAAACTTCTATAAAGCAAAGGCTACCATGGAGATGAATGAACCATGAAAGGAACAGTGAGTATTAATAGGACCCTTGAGATTACCGTCCTGGTCAGGATCCCTCCCTAAACTAAACAATCTGTTGATCCTATCTACAGCCAAAATTTGTTCTCTGATTTGCTCTTTCATTTATGATTAAGACAGCAGCAGGCATGATAGGAAACACAAAGTTGTTATAGAAAAGCTCTGAAGATATTTTGTACCAGGTAAGGGATTGTTGCCTTTCTTACTATTTACCCCTCTTTCTATCAGCAATTTTTCACAAATATGAATAGTTTTGGGGACTTTCCTCAAAATCCCACAGATCCTTTATTTTTTTAAAAAAAATGAGATAATTTCCATAATACGGTTTTTCAATGCATTTTTCCCCCTAACACAGGCACTTTTTAAAAAATGTAACAATCTTATTTATCTACATAACTTTCACAAGGTACCTTCCTTCAAATCCATCATTTTTAAAAGGAAAGTTTGTGTGAAATTTTGATTACCAAAATACACAACTTGGGAACTGTTTTGATGTCTTTAAATGCTGCTACAGAAAAGTCCCTTTGGGCAAGTCTTGCAAATCCACTTCAAAAGACCATGGAGGATTTCTACTTCACCTCTATCACCAGGTGTCTAAACTGAAGGCAAGACAGCTGTAAGCAACGATCCATAGAGCACCATGAAGAAAAGGGATTTAACAGAGAATATATGACAAGCTCTTCTGAACTTTGCTGTGTTAACAATTCCCATTTGCCCTAGTTATAACATTCACAAACGGTCACATGGTAATGGTAACTAAATGTTCTCCAAGCAGAAAATAGGAGAGGCATGATGCTAATCCCTTGAGCATTTTTTTATCCTCCCTATCTTCTTTTAACCTTGATGATAGAGACTAATGCTGGAATTTGATAGGTATCGTTTTAGATTTAGTTACAAAATAAAAGTGCTGAAGACAGAATTACTCTCAGTGGGAATAATCCTTTTTTAGTTTGTTGGTCTGTAAAATCCTGCCCTGTTTGGGTGTATACACAGTAAGGCAATTACTTGAAACTTAAGATGTAATTGTTAGGGAATTAACTGACGCCTGTTTTTGTGTACTTTTAAAAAAGTCAGTGAAAGAAAACATTCCAAATTTGTACAAATAGGTTCAGAAATGAGAAACATAGGATACTTTTTGCATTGTTATTCCACAGATCATTATCTAAAGTAAACAGATCATTATCTAAAGTATTAAAATAATACCTATGTTGGGGATAGGACCCAACAAACCATGCAGCTAATTCCACGGGGGCCAAAGAATATAAACTTTGAATCTTCTCAAAACAATATGACATGACAAACTACATTTGAAATGGATGGTTTTGAAATTATTATGATAGGATGAGGTCATGAGTAAATTTATGAACTGATAAAAGATATGCATGCACACGCATGTGTACGCACACACTCCTTGCATAAATCTCCCTTAGGAACTTATCTGCCATTTTATGCACATTTAATTATTTGAAATACTTTTACTAAACAGAGAGGGCCTTGCTTCTGAGTCAGTACAGTTAAACTTAACTGTCTGAAGTTTTAAAACCTAGTTTTATAGTCTCTAAAGGGGTCATGAATTCCTTATTATTTTTTATGGTTAATCACAAAGTCAGCCAGATTTTTAGATTGGATTTTGCATTTTTATCCACCTATTAAGTCCTTCCCAAGGACCTGGTATAGGCAGATGTTGTTTGATGGTGTTAAAGGTCATTTTGTTCCTACAAAATGTTATGTTTCCGAATTTGTTCATGGGGAAAGTGTGTCAGCTCTCTGATGATTTTGGTTATTGTTTCCAACATCTTTCTTAGCTCTGCCCCAAAATCATTTTCCTGGTCAGTTTCCACTAGCTCATTTATATCTGAGTGTATATGAAATGATTTTTTGCTTTCAGTTATTACTTTATACTTACCTAGAGACACTACTAGTACCAGAGATCAGAGAGCCAGAACTGAACACCCAAAATACTAATCTTCTTCCAATACGGGTAATCTTCAACTTATAACCGGTCATTTAGCAACCATTCAAAGTTATGGTGGACCTCCCCAGAGCTACTTATGACCCATTTCAAAGTTCAGATCTGTAATCACATTTTGAGCACTTGGCAATCGGCCTGCATTTACAGCCGTTTGGGCCTCCAATGATCACATGAGCATGATTTTCAGTATTTTTTGCTGGAAAGCTGTGTTTTGTTCCAGTTTTGGGCAAAAAATACCCACTGTGTATAATGAGTTTGCTTAACAACCAAACGGTTCACTTAATAACCACTGGAAAAAAGATCATAAAATTGGGAGCAACCACATAGTGTCTTGCTTAACAACTGCCACAACTTATGACTGTAATGCCAGACTCAATTATGGTCATGAGTTGAGGACTACCTATACTGGTACAAATGTAGGAAACTGTGTAATAACTGTAGCCTGTATACACTGGTTTAAATTTATTGTCAAATGAACAAACGCATAAATACCTGACATTCTCTTTTTGTGTGGTTTTTTCCCTGTGTTGGAAACTTCACAAAGCCATGTCTTTCCTAATGAAAATATCTGGATGAGCCATCAACATGTATAATCAAGCTTGAGAAATATATAGGTGTAACTGAAGATGTTGAGCACAAGCACATTTTAGTTTTGCCTCCTCCCAAATATGACCTCATCATTCCAATGTAACATATAGTTCACCATGGATTAATTTAATGAGTTATTTTAAAATAAGCAACACTCTAAAGTGGTTATTTTTATATCATTACAATGATGTACTTAAGTTAATATCACCGATTTTAGTTAATGTACTCTTTATAGGTGAGTGGTGTGGTGGCCTAAAGTGGAGCTATCGCCTCACAATCAGGAGGCTGTGTGTTTGATCCTAAGTAGCAGCAGATATTTCTGAGTAATTGTCTGCTGCAAATTCTGCATAGGCGTCAGGAAGGGCATCTGGCTAGTAAACGCTCAGCTCCAATCAATCGCCCCAACCCCATCCTGAAGCAAGAGATTAGAGGGATTAAAAGAAAAAAAACCTCTTTAAAGATAACTATTTGGAACTTTTATGATGCTGAGTCACTTTACCTAGTATGTTTGGGTACTGTTATTCATACATTTATAAACTGTACATAAAACATGGAACTAAAGCATGATATCTAGAAATAAAGAATTTGGCTGTTTAGACAGGGACTTGAAAACTGATTACAACTTACATACCTTAAATGTTGAAAGACCATACAGTCTTGCTGTGTGGAGAGTTTCTTGGGAAATATTTGTAATGTTAGTTATAAAGTCTTCAAGGTATTTACATGCTTGTTCCAAATGTGTTGTATTTATGATAATTTGCACCAGCTTAAAAAAATGTGAAAACAAAGATATAAGAACAAATTCTAATAAAGCCCCTTTTTAACATTTCAGATTAAAGTCACTGATAATTATGGAGCCGCCTCCCAAACAGAAATATATAACACAAAAACAAATATATAACATGTAATGGATTGATTATAACAAAACAGATATGTCTATATTAAAGACTGATTGTCATTTTAATTTAGAATACCAATGTATGAAAAACTCCATTGTGAACATTATGTGTGAACATTTTCTAGCTTCAGGAAATCTTTTTTACACTTATATATCCTGAAGTTGAAACTCAAGTACTTTGGCTACCTAATGAGAAGGAAGGACTCACTGGAGAAGAGCCTAATGCTGGGAAAGATTGAGGGCAATAGAAGAAGGGGAAGACAGAGAATGAGGTGGCTGGATGGAGTCACTGAAGCAGTAGGCATGAGCTTAAATGGACTCCAGAAGATGGTAGAGGACAGGAAGGCCTGGAGGAACCTTGTCCATGGGGTCGCGATGGGTTGGACACGACTCCGCAACTAACAACAACAACAACAATCCACTAAGAAAACCTTAAGTTGCTCCCTACAGAATATATGCTAGATAGCACATACTTTCCTATGTCTATTGAGATTCTCAGTCATCCAGGTCATAGTTATCCCAAAGGTGCTTTTTCACGAGGTAACTGGACTTTCTTGTTTTTCTTTGAAGAAAGTCCAGTTGCCTCGTGAAAAAGCACTTTGGGATACTTTCCTATGCTGTTTCTTTTTACCATTTACTTGGACTGGAGTAGTGGTAAATGGAATCTACCTACACGAGGAGTCTATCAAGCACTACAGATTTAACATATCAAATCATCTGAAAATTCCCCCTGGGGAGCCACAGGTTCAAGCAAGGCATAACTAATACCAAGATATATTTTAAACAAACATATCCACAATTCCTGATTTTCTTTGAAAAGTTCTGGGGAAATCGCATCCTTCCCAAGGAAAAGGTTTGAAAATCCCTGACTAATGGAAAAGTTTCAAAAGCCCCTGACAATGTACTGAATCTTAGAAAACACATCTCAGCACTTACCTCTGTCAAACCTATGTGAGGTTTTTTAATGAGGTTTTGTAAACAACTGCTTAAAGTTCTAGTCAGCAATAAATTTGTAGATTTTCTAAGCATGTCATCTATCTCTGTTGAACTGCAGAAAAAAAATGAGATACTCTGAAAACAGATGAACACTGCATATAAAATTACTAAATAAACATGCAGCTTTGTTTCTTTCCTACCACCTGATTATAACCCAGTGTCAATACAACTCTTGGCATGTTGATTGTCTTGGAGAACAGTTTTCCATTTAACAGATATCCTTACCAGTCTTCAACTCCATATCCCACCCTATATAGATATATTTTGCAACCAACAGAGGTAGTCCTTGACTTACAACCACAATTGAGCCCAAATTTTCTTTTGCTAAGTGAAACATTTGTTAAGTGAATTTTGCTCCATTTTAAGACTTTTCTTGCCACAATTATTAAGTGAATCCCTGTAGTTATTAAGTTAGTAACACAGTTATTAAGTGAATCCGTTTTCTCATTGACTTTGCTTGTAAGACAGTCACAAAAGCTGATCACATGACCCCGGGACACTGCAACCGTCATAAATATGAGTCAGTTGCCAAGCACCTGAATTTTCATCATGTGACCATCATGTAAAAAACGGTCATAAGTCACTTTTTTCAGTGCTGTTGTAATTTTGAATCGTCACTAAATGAACTGTTGTAAGTTGAGGACTACCTGTATACCATTTTAGTTACTCCAGAGAGAAACCTGCAGAAACTTAAACCTTTTCCATGTGACTGTTGACTTTGCCTTCTTTATTTTGGGGATTCTGCACAGCATCCACCAACTGTCACCATCTTTCCCATTATGTGCTGCCAGCACTCTCCACAGGCAATTAGAGTGGGAGCAAAACTGAAAAATAAAATCACCCATCTTTGCTCCGTGGCTTAGCATTACATAATGAGAAAGCAGAAAAAGTCAACTATTGTAGAATAGACATGCCACTGACAGGTCAAGAAGAGGAAACTAAGGCGCTCTGCTCCACAGCTTCAGTAGAAAGATGATGAATCTATGCGGCAATGCTCCGTGTGATGCAGAAGCCAACTTGATTTACCTGGAAAATTAATTAGTTTGGTTTTTCTAAAGCACCAATAGAAACTTACAAGAAGTGTGCTAAAATTCGCACATCAAAAATACTGCTACACTATCACTACATCATCACTAAATCATTACACTGGTTTAATATGGAGCTAACACTAACAACAAGGAGTTAATCTTTTCTCTACCCGCAAAATTTAAGATCTAGCACATATGATTTGCCAAAAGTCCAAGGAAGATGGAAAGCATTATATTTGGGAAGGCTCTTGTGTATTAATATCAAATAGTGTTTACTGAAGTTCCTAAGACATAATTTAATTTACATAATTTGTTGCCCCATCCTTCTGGAAGCATGATAATACATAAATTATTTTCATGATGTAGATATAGTATTCTACAGAAACACATTATTTTTATTTGTCCACACCTGTAATCAAGTATGTTTGCTTAACTGTCACAAAGGACTGAATTTCACACAAGCTAGTATTTGTTAATAATTTGATAAAATTTAGTATGTGTATTTATGTAATTTGAACTCTAGCTGATAGTATATATTTGTGAAGAGTAATTTGCATAATTAATGAATTCCTGTTTGGAGATGGAGATTAAGAAGCCTTATTAGCTCAGTATTTGTGAAAGGGGAGTAATTTACCATTGTCAACATTAGGCACAGCTTGACAACAAACTGAAATAGTTTCCAGATTTCAACAAGCAAAGAAATACACATTCCATCCAATTAAAGGCAAGTAAGGCTTTAAGATTAATGAAAATGGAAGCCTTTGAAAAGTGGAGTAAATTCTCCTTTGTAGTGTGTTCTATCTATCAGAAAATGAATTTCTCAATATTCCAAGAATGACTTTTTTTAAATACAAAGATATTACTCAAAGTTTGAACTGAAGAGGGAAGAAGGAAATTTATTCAAACAACAAAAGAACAAAGCTTTATTCCTTTCTACTATCTGCATTTGTGTGTATGTGTGTGTGAGAGAGAGGGGGGGAGGGAGGGGGGAAAGAGAGAGAAAGGGGGGGACGGAAGTATTTGAATTACTTTTTCTAAAAAATCTATATAACCTAATGAAAAAAAACTTCTTAGGACTACAGGTATCCTCGACTTACAACAGTTCATTTAATGACCATTCAAAATTACAACGGCACTGAAAAAGGTCTTGACTGTTCCCCCCCCCATAATCTTGTGATCAAAATTTCTTACTTATGACCATGGCTTTAGTTTCTGATTGTCTTGAAGCACAAGCAAAACACATTCAATTAAATCTACTATACAGACACTGATTTTATCAATGCTTACCTCCGATGAAGTGACTCTGAAAATTTAAGGCTTGCATAAATAAATTCTTTAACCTGGATATAAATCTGAGGCACTGACTGTGACATTGGAAGTTTCTTTGGAAAACGGTGCTGTGGAAGCAAAACAGATTTTCCATGTGGTACTGTATTTCAAAACGGGTCAAGTAAAAAACAATCTGAACTCAAATCTAAATTATATTTGGTTGTAATTTAGTTACTTGATTCTATTATTGTTTATCTAAAGTTTTATATACAGATAGTCCTTGACTTACAATAGTTCGTTTAGTGTTGGTTCAAAGTTACAATGACGCTGAAAAAAGTGACTTATAATGATTTTTCACACTTTCAACTGTTGCAGCATCCCCATGGTCATGTGATCAAAATTCAGACACTTTATGACGGTTGCAGTGTCCTGGGTCATGTGATCACCTTTTGCAAAGTCAATGACCAGCAAAGTCAATAGGGAGTCCAGATTCGCTTAACAACCGTGTTATTAATTTAACAACTAAGGTGACTCACTTAACAACTGTGGCAAGAAAGGTCATAAAATGGAGCAGAACTTATTAATTAATGTCTCACTTAATTTTGCACTCAATTGTGGTCGTAAGTCGAGGATTACCTGTATATACAACACCTGATTATGTACGTAAGTTATGAATTTAACTTGTATCTAATTAAGTTGCTTATCTACACATTTTTATAATTTCCTCCATGTCCTCCATTAACATTTGGTACTAATCTTTGGAGATGTGGAAAGCCACAACTAAGGCTTTAGAGAGATACACATGGCCTGATGTCCCATATCATATGTCTCTAAGCTACTAAGCTACAGTAAAATCTATTGGGTTAGGACACTGTGTGACCCCCACCATTGCAGTTTGTAAAGAGTTTGTGCTTAATGTGCCACTTGAACTCAACCAGTTGTGATTTATTCTACTATCACAGTTAAGCAACCAATGAGTAAATCAGGTCACTAGAAACAGATCCTGGTTGATGATGAAGATATGATTCAATCAAACTGCAGTTTGCTGCTTTTTTCAGTTATGATGGTAATCTAGTTTGCCATTATTTAGAAGTAAAAAATGCAGCCACTTCTATGCTATTCTCAATCCTGTTCAAACTTATATTTTCTTCTATACGTTTCCTGTTTATTTATTTTAATTTAATAATATTCTTGAAATAATATTCTTGTTTTGTGCATGAAAAAAGAGGAGACAAGAGCATGTAAATCTGAATATATTCACTTTTCCTTAGTTTTAAAATCTAACATGTGGAGTCCTGTGTACTCCCTAAGCTTGGTTATTTGCATGCATATGTTTCATTACCCAGCTAGGTAACATGATTAGCGCTTTGTCTGCTTTCTGGAATATTTGACACTCATATATGGTCCCAATAGAAGGGAATGTTGGCACACCAGAGTCTCATTCATTATTGGAATTAACCAGACAAAAACTAATATGCCACAAAGTTCTCTTACCTTGTCAAGTTCTGGATCTTGAAAAGGAAATTTACTAATCACAAGTTTGTACTCTTCCTCATTTGATACAGGAATTGGACTATAATTATCTGCTTCAAAAATATCCCTGCAGAATTTAAGGAACTAGTTAGGAATATATAGTTCAAGTACAAAATATAATGACATAGATGGGCACAATCCAGCCAGGGCTAAGCTTTATTGCATTGCATTTCTTGCAAAAGGAAAATTATGCATTTGTAAATTCTGATGTCAAAAATGTTGGTGATTTAAAGTGCTGTAAAGTATAGCTAGAAAAGGGGGCAAGAAGTATCCCAGCTGCAATTAACTGTTAGTCTGAGTAGACAATAACTCATAATACACTAATCAACAAATATTTGTGAAGCTACAATAAAAAAAAGTGGCTTCATATGGAAATGTAAACTTATTATACTACATTAAGTTGAAATCCCCGTAATACAGGACTAGTGGTCATGGTATATTAATGAAAGCAATAAGTAACCATTGTTTGTGTGTGTGTGTGTGTGTATGTACGCGTGCGTGAGTGAGTGAGACAGACAAACAGATAGACAAAATAAACACATGGAATTATCAAATAAATAAAGCCTCAAATTTAAATTACGTTCATATCCAGTCTGTCAGAAATGTTGAGATTTCTAAATTGTTGCCATTTCAGAAAACAAATACCATTACAAAAATTGGATAATGAACTCTTCAAATATTTAGCCATTAAAAATAAAAACAAAAGTGGCCATTATTTGGAAAGACTTTCTTCTTATCTTGCAATACTCACCTGAACAATATAGCCCACTTTTTAAGAAGTGTCTCATTGTACTGGTCTCTTATTTCAAATAAAAGATCAAATAGTCTGTTGACGGGGAAACCATAACCCTAACAAAACAGCAAAATAAAAGAATATTTCAAAGGTGCAAACAGAAGCAAGCATATGATATTACAAAACTGAGACGTTTGAGGCCTGTATCCCTCCTTGTTTTTGCAAGGAAAGGTCAGCATACCACAATCTCTTTCCCATTCAATAGTCCACTGGGGACTTTCTTTCCTCCTCATTCCCAAAGCAAGCTTGCTCTAATCTCTTTTCTTTTCCACAGCTTCTCATTTATCTCTGCCCTGCTTCATATGGTAATGTTGGAGCTCTTGTAATGAAGGAATGAATGGATACCACTTTCCTTCACTCTGTTCTTTATACAACATAGGAGCCAAGTCCTCTACCATGATTATCTGAATACATGAAGAGAAACAGGAGGGGGGGAGGAGGAGGAGGAGGAGGAGGAGGAGGAGAAGGGAAGGGGTTCCATATGAAAAGTTCAACCTTCCCCTTCAATTAATATGCTATTATATATTTCTTGCATTGATCTCCTTTGCCATTCCGGCATAAATATCAGTTCATTCTCTTTCTATCAAATGATATACAGCGTATGTTCAACCCACAGCTAGTAATGCGACCCCACAAGATCATAAATTTTTAACATTAAGATGTTTGTTTATATACATAACTATATTATATATTGTATATGCAGCCCAAGACAATTCCTCTTCACTCTGTGTGGCCCAGGCAAGCCAAAAGATTACAGAAGGCTAATATAGAGTACGGGCTTTCAAGCAGCTATCCTAACGTCACCATATTTGAGCACAGGATATTTGTTTCTTGCTTATAACGTTGATCTACAAGGCCAATTGTAGACAAACAAACACTAGACCTGAGGGATGGGAGGAAAAAATGACAATTACTTGCACCACATATTGAGCTCCTGAGTGAAGAGCAGAATATATATCTAATAAATAAATATTCAGAAAAATTGGGACTGCAATTCTTAGTATTCTCCTGAAGCTTTGATTTTGCTGAATGAGAATCCCACTACTGTTGTTTTAACAAATCCAGATGATACCAGGTTAGGACAAGTCAAATGTTACTGCAAACACATATGTCTTGTTTGCCATTCTCTTGTCTTTTTATTTTTTATGCCTTTTCTATGTTTAAGGACATTATTAGTTTATACTTAATTTTAAGACAGGTATTTCTTGAATCTAGTTAAATAAATAAGAAAAGGATATAGTAAATAGACATTCCATGCCTGAAATGCCAGCATGTTACCAACCTGCAAAGTATCCGCAAAGACAACTATCAGATTCTTCAGCTCCAGGACAAGATCAGGATCAGTGCAATAGGACTGAAAATTAAAATATCAGATTACGCTTAAGAAATTAAGCAAATTATTGTTTGTCTACCAATGTGTTGCTGTAAAGCTTACTAATGGGTGTATTTCCAACAATACTGTATGGATTTTTTTTTTAAAAAAAGGAGAAGTAAGAACAATATTGTAATTTTCTATTGAACTCAGAGAACAGGAAAAAGCAATCCAGAGAAATCTGGGCACTGTTTCACCACCTTTCTTCCATTTCTAAGGAAATATCCTTTATTAGGGTTTTCTTGCTATCATCTCTTAACTAGCAAAAGAAGATAATAGAAGAGGATTTGAGCTGGATCAACCTAAAAGCCTGTCCAATATAGTTTCTGATCCAAAAGTGGCCAACCAGATGCTCCTGGGAAGCTTACAAGCAGAGCATATTGACAACATGACTTTCTTCTGCTTATCTTTTTCTTGGTTTTTTTCCTTGAAACGTTTTGCTTCTCATCCAAGATTCTTCATTTCTGTTCTTCAGTTCCAGAAGTGAAGAAGCTTCTTGGATGAGAAGTGAAATGTTTTCAAGGAAAAACCCAAGAAAGTTCAATTGCCTTTTGAAAAGCATCTTTGGAACAACCATAATGATTGAGAATCTCCATAGACATTCCTCATAAATAATATGTGAGAAGTGTTTCTCTGATATATATATTACTATTAATTTACCTGATACTCTTCTAAAGTCACTCATGTTGGTGTTTAAGTCAATTTCTGAAAAAGTGCTCTACCTCTCATTTTGCTCCCCATCACTAAATTTCAGGTGTAAATGTTGGCTACTCCAATTTCTTCTTTAAGTAGAAGCTATAAAAATATTTAAGATAATCTCTGAGCTTGATTAGCGGGACTGCATACACACATTAATGCAGTTTGCTTGGCAATTTACAGATGTTCTCTTCTTAAAGAATGCTTTTTTTTATCTTCCCACTCTAGCTTGGATATGTGGGATCCCCTGATGGTCTCCCTTCTAAGAATTAACCAGATCTAATCCTCCTTAGTTTCTGAGTAAAATTCAGATAAGATTGGCCTGATTCTGTCATCTGCTGAGACCATAAAAAGTGTTATTGATGATAGAAAACAACTTGAAAAATATTGCATGAACATGTGTAGGCTTTTCTATATACATGTTTTCCGTATATATACTTAGCCTTAAGACATGTATTTTTCAGGCACTTAACATATGCTTTTTTCATCAGCTCTGGGGATCCATAGGGAGCCTGCAAGGTGGCTGTATGAGGTCAAGTGATGGTTGTTCTCTCACATTCTTGGGTTTTATATATTTATTTTATTTATAATTGACTCCTTGTAGATTGTTATGTAGTTTTTAATGGCTGTTATGTTTGTGCGCTGCCCACAGTCACATTTTGTTAGATGGGTGGCTACATAAATGTGATAAATGAACAAAAGAAATAGTCTGGGTTTATGTTAGATAACCATTTGCTTCTATTTACTGACAAACTGTCACAATAAAAATCCATCAGCTATTAGCAATTTTTGCTATTTTATTCTTTTATAGGCAAAAAATTGCAAAAAATTAGGAAAAGATAACTTTATAAGACTAAATGATATTTGTTTATAATTCCCCAACCCAAGAACAGCTAATAAGGTCTAGTAGGTAGTGTACAACTCTGTTACAATTTAGAGCTGTCCTAAGGCTAAGAGTTTTGCCAGTGAAGTTTACTTTGGAAAAGGGTTTGGAATTATAATTAGAAACTATTTCCTGATGCTATTTTCAATGCTCAACTAATTCACTCTGATCTAATAAAGAGGTCAGTTGAAACTAATTAGGACAGATTGCAATAATAAGAGCAGATTAACTCTGCATATTCTAAACTGTTCAGAATACGAACAGTTTGGAAGACCTGGGGAGTTGTAAATCAGCGGGGGATTATGCAGATAGCCCACGGCTGTGACTCAAAGCCAGATAGTGCAAGGACAAACAAAGGCTTCATGGGCTCTCTCCCAAATCTGAGCAATTTTTAATTACCAATACCCCCCTCCACATGTTAGACCTGCATTCTGCACCACCACCATCACCACCATTTCAAGCCTTCCCCACATTCTCCTTCCTCTAAACATACTCTACAGGGTCTTAAGTAAGTAAATTTAAAGGGAAGCTTAAAAAAAAAAAACAGCTCACTTACTGAATGAGTTCTAAGGACAGCGATAATCTTTGAAAGTGCCATGTTCCAAAGTTCATCTGTGTAAGCTCTTGTTATTAATCCTTGGGTTGCGTGTAAAATGTGATCCTCCACGACAAAAAAACTGAACAGGATGAGAAATAGTGGAATCAATGTGATTTTCCTGAGATATAATTGATAAAGGGCAATAAAGCGCAGTGCTCTCCCTTTTCCTCCCCCTTTCATCCTCAGCCCCCAAACCTGGAGGCTTCACTAGCCATTTCCCAAACTTTTGTAGTGTCAGTCCCATTCACACCTTTAGTGCTTAACTAAAGGGAATGTGTGAAGAAACCCATATTTCTCCATTTAATTAGGAAAAGTATATCTAAGATACAGTAATAAATGTAGACGTTTACCCCTCAGACTGCACCTCAGTGGGAGAGCATATTTTTTGTTCATGCATTCAACATAGCAAGATTGTGTGGGAAAGCAAGGCAGGACTGATTGCCTAGAGACGGTGAACTTTATTATAAATCAACAGAAAACCAACAACTGAATATGGGCTGGCTTGTAGTGCACTGAAGACATCTTGGCAATCAATGGATGCTCATAAACGAGAGATTCAGTCAATTGCTATCTAAGAAGGGAGCAGTGTTTTTTGCTTAATAATAGCTGTCATAGTTGCTGTGCATAAGACTCGTGGTTTTAAGTTATAGACTATGCAACGTCAGCCTGTAAATTCTGGGATGCTGTAGTGGAAATATGATAATTGTCAGCAGGCCTTAGAAAGAATATGTCACTAAGGCATCAATAGTCTCTATACCCTAAATATCCAATTCTTTATATTTTAAAAATATTCTTAAAAGTTCTGAATAGAACAATACAAGATAATGCAACTGAAAAAAGAAAAAAGTTCCAGAAAAAAGAAAAAAAATGAATTAAAAAACTCCTCCCATTGCAAGAAAGGGACTTGCCATGTCAAGGTAATGATTTAACAGCTAACCAGCTTATGTAATGTAAGATGTAATGATGGGAATGACTCAGCAGAGTCTGTGTCCCTTTAAGAGCCTTTGTTTAAAGGGAAGGCTCCACAAATGTGTTCTCTCTCTCTTCCGTTTCCTGCTCTAACTGTGGTTTGTTGGAGCCTGTTGTATTAGCACATGTATGTATATTGTTCCTGGTGTATGATATTGTAGATAGTGTAAGATAAACCACCATTTATTACAGACCACTGTTTACTCCTGAGTTATCGTGTGCAATAAGACTGTGCACGCTCTGACATGCCACCATCATCATGACAAGTACAAAGAATTCCATGATCTTTTCCCCTCCTTTTAGCTAACAAATAACATCCCATAACCCATTTCTTAATAGGCAAATTAAATTAGTACTGTCTTCTTTAATCCAGTTACCACCAAAAGTTCCAAATAAAGCTGTAAGATTTTAACATCTAATAGATCCAATTCTTTAATACACACATTATTTATTTTCAAGAAAACATAATTTGATATATGATGATGGGAGGAGCAAAGGAGCACAACTGTTCCTACTCCTTGCTATCTTAAAATATCAATTGCTAGTGTTAATATAGCAAAAATAAGGCAAAAAAGCATATGCAAACCAATTGAAAAGTTGTAATAAGTACAGATAGCAGCTTTACTCACCCTACAATTTGACTGAAGTATCTTCTGTAATCTTCTACTGTTTCATGCTGTAAGAAAAGAACACAATCATTTAACAGAAAGCAATGTGAAAGGTTGTATAAATCTTTTCTTTTTTAAATTCAAGTACCATGTTTGACTGTGGCTGTAAAACTAGTCTTGCTTGTTTCCTCCTCTGTTTTCTATAGTAGTTTTCAAATGTTTCTGCATCACCCTAAACAAAAAATATACACAATTTAAGACATCTCTTTGTTCTCCCAAATATCTTTATGATAAATGTCCCCACACTTCTGAATATGAAAAATAGCTTTTTTAAAAAAATATGGGATACTAATAACTTCAAATATACAGTATACTGTGTGCATGTACTGTCCGATTCTGTTTTACTACAGACATTTTATTTTAAAAATACTCCTTTAAATCAATGTTCCAGATACGTTTTGTCTATATATCATTCTGTCTCATAGTGGAAGCAATCCTATCATTCTGTCTCATAGTGGAAACAATTCCCAAATTACCGAACAATGCTTAATAGTTTTAGAATGAGCCATCACTTGAAGTTAATGTCATTTCATGACTTCTTCATTTTCATGCCTTGTTCTGAAGCTGTTTGCTATAGTTTCCCATTTTGGATGGAACAAGAAGCTATAGCTAATTACAGATTCATGCTTTATTACTATAGCATATCCCAGCTGAATGTGCCCATGGTTTATAGGTTAATTCATATCTCAGTCTTTTAAGCCAATGTGTGATAGTATGAACTCTTACATGAATTAGCTAATCAATCTTTGCTTGCTGTTAGAAAAACAGTGATCTTTCAGATCTATCAGGTATAATGTTCCTATATGCTCCTCACATACCCTGTTTCTGGCCCTCCAGAAACTGGATTAGCTAATTCATGTAAGAGTTCATACTATCACACATTGGCTTAATAGACTGAGATATGAATGAGGTGACAATGGGAATTAAGAAGAGAGGGGAAACTAGGGGAAATGTATTCTTTTTCTGCTGGTAAAACAGAGCCTCTAGTGGCTCAAAGGCTCTTGTCTTTACAGAAGGACTCTTTTTATGAATGAAAAAACAATGCTGCAACTAAATAGGCAAGCTTTACTAGCAGGCAATAAATTGCACGCACATATTTAATATTAGACTGTACGTACATTTCTATATATATATATATAAACAAATAAAAGGGTTTCATGTATAGCATATATACATATGTTCATATATACATACCAGAACTGAATAAATATGTAGGCATCTATATACAGGAGAAAAATCTACCAGATCGTGAGCAGTCAAAACCTGTAAAAATGCATCCCCCCCCCCAAAAAAGGCAAGAATATAACTTCCAATCAGCTATAATATTACAAAGCAAACTTTTAGCATAAATTAAAAATAGGCTCAATGAAAACCAATACTGTTTTCTATGAGCAAAATTTTGTTATGAGTAGTTTCGTGATTGTTATGGTAACTAAAGAGTACTTATTCAAAAAGATTACTACTGTGCTCCATCAGTAGTTAAATTATAAAATACACTTTATAAAAGTCCTCCCCAAAGGTGCCTTAATCTAACAAAACTGGGGTTTGTGTGTGAAAGCTTAACCAGGGCTAGTAAAGAATAAAAAGGGCAATGGTAGTAATAAATAAAACCAGTGTATTAAACAGTATGTATATAAATGGGCGTTGTCTTACCTGAACGCCATTTCTCAGCATGTAGATGTAGCCTCCACCGATGGGTTATCGAAGCCTTCCTGCTCAGTTTAGACTAAGACCAAACTTTGGCCACGCCTCCCTAGGGCGGTCCTTCCCCAGTTTGTTGATTGACGAGGCGAAGCTAATATGGTCTGACACAACATTCCTCCTGAAAGTACCGCCTAGACTCACCTATAAGGGCGGGTGTGGAGGCTACATCTACATGCTGAGAAATGGCGTTCAGGTAAGACAACGCCCATTCTATAGCATGTGAGATGTAGCCTCCACCGATGGGACATACCCAAGCCGCAATGTCCCCCAATGGGAGGGAAGTCTAGGCCTGTGAGTCGTGAGCCGCCACCACCCACTGCAAGACCCTCCTGCCAAAGGCCGCATCAGCCGCTGCAAACTGATCAAGTTTGTAATGCCTTATAAAAGAAGAGGGAGAAGACCAGGTGGCTGCCCGACAAATCTCTTCCACCGAAGCCTGGGCAGAATAAGCCGTAGTCGTGGCTGCACTACGCGTGGAATGAGCTGTGACGTTCGCCGGAACCTGAAGAGACTGAGACTTGTATGCATAAGAGATGCATGCCCTGATCCATCTTCCAATGGTTGAAGATGATACCTTCAGACCCTTGGAAGAAGGATGGAAAGACACAAACAGAGCCTCAGTCCTGCGAAAAGGCTCTGTACGTTTTACATAGTGATGCATGGCCCGTCGCACGTCCAACGTGTGCCTCATCTTTTCCAGTCGATGGGATGGTCGAGGACAAAAATTTGGAAGAACCAGGTCCTGAGATCTGTGAAAACAAGTATTGACCTTCAGGATGAAGGACGGGTCCAACCGAAGGACCACCCTGTCATCCAGAAAGTTACAGAGGTCCCCTCTGACCGAGAGCGCGGCCAGTTCAGAAATACGTCTTGCCGAAGTAATGGCAACCAAAAAGGCGACTTCAGAGAAAGGAAGTGTAAGGAGCAAGACCTAATAGGTTCAAAGGGTGGCCCCGTGACAACCTGCAACACCTTTGGTAAATCCCACGTGGGGTATCTATGCACCACGGGAGGAGCAGTGTGAACTGCACCCTTAAGGAAAGCCCTGACTGTCGGGTGATGGGATAGTTGCGCATGATTCTCACAAGTGAGAACTGAGGACAAAGCAGCAATTTGTCTACGTATAGTGTTATAGGCCAGGCCCTTGTTCAGGCCCTCTAAGAGGAAATCCAAGATGATTGGAATGGAGACTTTCAACGGATCTAAACCCTGGGAGGCGCACCATGCGCAGAAATGCCTCCATGTGGCATCATAAATTCTGTTAGTTGAAGGACGTCTGGAGGCTTGAATTACCGCTATGACGTCTGGGGAAAATGACTGCCTGGCTAAACTCTCCCGCTCAAGTGCCAAGCAGCTAACTGAAGCCACTGCGGATCCGGATGTTGTAGCTGACCCTGACTGAGAGCAACTAGATTTGGTGGGATCTTCCATGGCGGAGAGACCGACAGATCCACGAGGTCTGCAAACCAAGGTCTCCTTGGCCAGTGAGGGACCAACAGGATCAACTCCGCCTGTTCCAAAAGCAGTTTCCTGATGACAGCCTGAATCAGAGGAAGAGGGGGGAATGCATACAGGAGCCCCTTGGGCCAAGGGCTGCGGAGCGCATCTGTTCCCTCCGGCCCCGGTGATGGAAACCTTGTGAAAAATCTGGGTAGTTGAGCGTTTGCCGACGAGGCAAACAAGTCCACCTGAGGTTGCCCAAACCTTTCCACTATTCTCATGAAAAGAGCCGGATCTAGGTGCCACTCTGAGTGGTCTATCAATACCCTGCTCAAAGAATCGGCCTGACGATTCGCCTCCCCGGAGATGTGCTCTGCGCAAATGGATGCCAGATTGAGTTCTGCCCACAGGCCCAGGGATAGAGCTTCCTGTATGAGGGTCCAAGACCTGGTCCCCCCCTGCCTGTTGACATGGGCCTTGGTTGCGACATTGTCCGTCATTACCAGGACGTGTCTTCCCGCTACTATGTGGGCAAATTGGCGTAAAGCCAGGTGTACAGCCCTGAGCTCCAACCAATTGATGATGTGAGCGAGATCGGATTGGAACCACTGTCCCTGTGCCATGTGAGTCTGCATGTGCGCGCCCCAGCCGAACAAGCTGGCGTCCGTGGTCAGGACGAGTCTGTGAGGCTCCTTGAACAATGAACCCTTGTGTATGGCTGCCGACACCCACCAGTGGAGAGACACTAGAGTGTGGTGAGGAACTCTCACTTTCCGTATGGAGGCACTCATGTTCTTCCTCTGGAAAGGTAGGAGGAACCACTGGAGGTGTCTGGAGTGAAGTCGTGCCCAAGGTACTATGCCCAGACACGAAATCATTTTCCCCAATAGCTGAGACAGCTGAACCAGTGGAACCACCTTGTTTTTCTGGATATTGCAAACTAAGGATTTGATGCTGTCTTTGCGTTCTTGGGATAGATATACCTTGCACAGGTTCGAATCTATCACCGCGCCTAAGTGTAGAATCCGAGTGGTCGGAATGGTGTGACTCTTTTTGAAATTCACGGAGAAGCCGTGCCTCTGAAGAGTCTGAATTGTGATTTGTAGATCCAACTGTGCTGCCCGGAACGACCTGGACTGGACAATGATGTCGTCCAGGTAGCACTGTACTCTTACCGGTATCAGCCTGAGATGGGCTGCTAATACCGCCAGTAGCTTTGTGAAGACGCGAGGGGCCGAAGAAAGACCAAAGGGCAGAGCCCTGTACTGATAATGCCTGTGTGCATGGCAAAAACGGAGGAACCTGCGGTGATGGGGTCTGATTGGGACATGAAGATAAGCCTCTGTCAGATCTATGGAAGAGAGATAATCTCCCTTCCTGATACTGGCCAGGATGTATCTGAGGGACTGCATTTTGAACCGCCTGTAGGCTATGAAATGGTTCAGTCCCTTCAGATCCAAGATCGCTCTCCAACCTCCCGATGTTTTGGGAACCACAAAGAGGACGGAGTAAAACCCCTTTCCCCTTTGATCCGGAGGAACCGGCTCTATGGCCTTTATATCTAACAGATGGGAAATGGCCTTGGAGACTAGCCCAGCCCTGTTTGCGTGTTTTGAGGTTGGACACTGGATGAATCTGTCTGGGGGGATGGAGTGGAATTCTAAGGCTAGTCCTAGCCTTATGGTCTCCCTTACCCAAGCATCGTTGGTGGTGACCTCCCAAACGTCGCTGAACAGAGTCAAGCGACCTCCTATGGGAGGATCCATAATGGCGTCACTTGGACCTCCTGAATGAACGTCCTCCAGCTCCCCTAAAGGGGCGCTTGTTCTGGTATTGCCCCCTGGTTCCTGTGTTCTGGCGGCCCTGTTGTCGATCCTGTCTGGGGGAAAAGGATCGGGAACCTCTGGGCCCATCCCAGGACTGCCCTGCTCGAAAGGGCTGCCGCCACTCCCAGGAAGCTCCAGTCCGAAAGGACTGTCTGCGGAATTCTTGATGGGGTCTCCTATCCGCCTTTTTGAAGGGGTGAGCCAATGTTTTCCTTTTGTCCTTACCTTCAACCAGGTGCGGTTCTAAAACTGCCCCAAATAGCTAATTACCCTTATATGTGTCTGTAGCCAGACGCCATCTTGATTTAAGATCTGCCCTCCACTGCTTGAGCCACAAGAATCTACGAGACGCTACCGTGGCAGCTATAGACCTGGCAGAGTGCTTGACCGCGTGGAGGGATGCGTCTGCGATAAATTCCGCAGCAGCCATCAGTTTCCCCAGATTTTGTTGCGCACGCACCTGATCAGGGGGAATTAAAGCCTGTAACTCACGGAGCCACATGATGGAGGTCTTCGCAAAGAAGGATGAAGAAGTCGCCGCCTTGATGGCCCAGACTGAGGCCTGATGAGCTCTGCGGAGAGAAAACTCAAATCTTTTATCCTCCGCCTTGAGGTTTTCTGCCATGTCACCCGGAACTGTGGACGTGGAGAATAAGGACGTCAGCGGGGCATCTACCTTAGGAACCTCAAGGAGGGAAGAAAATTTAGGGGAAACATTAAATAGTTTCTTTTCCATGCTGCTGGGTTGAGTGGAAGTGGACAGTGATGCCCACTGGTCCTCCACCGTGGTGTGGAACACTGCAGGGCAAGGAATATGTTTTTCCTCCACAACCTTCACCGTAAATAAGGGGTTTGACTCCTGTGGAGTCGATGTAGAAGGTTCAGGTTCCTGTTCTGTGACCAAATTGGCCGTGGTACAGGCCTTTAATAAAAGGGATTTAAAAAGAGAAGGATCGAAGAGACCGGACGTTGGAGCCGGATCAGAAGCTCCCTCTTCATCCTCTGACATAGGCAGGTCAGGTGCGTCTAAGTCAACCAACTCGGCCTCCCCAAGGTGAGAGGAGGTCTCAGAAATACCAGAGCCTGTGGACTGTAGACCCTCAATGCGACCTGCTGGCAAGGTTGGAGGTGAGGTGGATGGGGCCTGTGAAGGTCCCTGACCCATGGAGGATGCCATAAATTGGGTGAAGGCCTGTTGCATAAAGGTGTTAAACTGTTGTGCCCAGAAAGTTTGCTCTGTAGGGACAACCCCAGAAGTAGAGGCCTCAGCGGGCTGAAGGGTGTTTGAGGTAACTGGGACTGAAGGACTAGAAGGAAAGAGCGGGAAACCTGGAGGGGAAGAAGGGAGACCAACCTGTTCAGTTCCCCCTTGAGGAGACCAAGCCATAGGAGCTTGATAAGAAGGCACTGGTGGAAGCTCAAATGGTGAACTGCCCAGAGAAGCAGGGGGAACCACGTCAGCTTCACTGGACCTGAGCCTTTGTGTCCTGGAGAATTCTTTCTCCAATGCCAGATGTCTTCTCGTGGCCTCTCGCTCAGCAGCCTTGGAGGGTTCTGCAGGCAGATGTTTGGTTTTGGCTTTTTTCTTTCCCCCCGCGCCTACATCAGAAGATCTGCGCTTGGATTGTGCGGGGGGGGGGGCAACTGAACCCTGCGAAGTCTGAGGAGAAACACCATCTGCCATTGTGAGCCGGACCTTCCAAATGGGAGAAGCCCTGCAATGGGGGTAAACGCGCAGATCAAGTTGTCCGGGAGGGAGTCTTCCTGCGCCCTAAGACAACCACAATGGCAAATAGCCAGACAGATTAGTAAAGCTGCCTGTTTAGGCCCTGCAGGCACAGCGCCGCGAGCTATTAGAACAGGTGGAATAAATTCTCCCAATAAGTGTATCAGGAATAAGGTTATTAGATAATACAAACGATGAGAAAAAAAGAAGAATCTTTTCTTCTAAATGTAATCCTTGAAAGGATCAGAAAAAAATTGTGGAACACCCCCTAGAAAGCCCAACACAGCAGGCTGTAAAATGTTCTTTTGCAGGCCTAATCTCCGTCAATGTGAATGCCCCACCAAAATGGCGGCCACACCTAGTACGAAAAAACAAAATGGCGGTCACAAGCCTCGTGGCCGCCAAATGGCGACGCTAGAGGAAAGGGAAGCGATATATAAGGTCCTGCCAGGTGGCCAAGGGGCCCACGGGTCTCTGCCACCCAGTCTTCGCTCCCTTCGAGAATAAGGCAAACAACTTGCGATTTGCAGCTCAGGTAAACAGGCCTCCGCTATTCGCCAGAGCCTCGTGGCCACGAGGAGAAGAAATCCACTCGCCCAACCTTCCAGCTCGAATACTGTCCGTTCCTGACCTGGGGAAATTCCCCCTCTCCGTGTCAAATCAACCGAGCTAAGAACGGACTCGCAAGCGGTGAGGGAAATCCCAGCTCTGCGCCAAAACTTCGAGCCGAAGAAAAAGCCTCCTAGCGCTCAGGGAAAACCCCTCACAGCGCCAAACAGCCGATCGAAGCCAAAAACAGTTTACTTTCAGGGAAACTCCTTCACAGCGTGAGGCAGACGAATCTATGGAAAAAAGGCTCCCAAACGCTCAGGGGAATCCCTTTCGCAGCGCTCAAAGGCGGAGTGAAACGGAGGCAAACGGCAAACTCGAGGCTCCCAGGGAAGCGCGTCCCTGCAGGGAGTCCCCTGAGGGCTGAAATACAGCAAGCCAAAACCCCTTCTACAATCGTTCTAATAGGTAATAAGATTGAAGGGAAAAATAATAAAACGAATGAATCTTGCTAACTCACTTTACCTAAAGCTAAATACAATTAAATTATTTGAGGAGCTATGCTAAGTTGTGTCCTTACTGAGCCGAGACTAAGAACAAACTGGGGAAGGACCGCCCTAGGGAGGCGTGGCCAAAGTTTGGTCTTAGTCTAAACTGAGCAGGAAGGCTTCGATAACCCATCGGTGGAGGCTACATCTCACATGCTGTAGAATTATGCATCTTCTCACTTTATTTTGGGCTGTATGAATTCAACAAAAAAGATCATATGTACTAGGTTATGACTTCCTTTATGAATATAGTAGAATCCATTTGTCACAGAAACATCTGTCATGCTAATAAAACAAAACATTGTTTTCTTTATTGTGAATTTTCTGTGATTTTCCATCTCAAATAAGCTCAAGATGCTTTCCAAAATTATCTCAATCTAGGACAGTTACTGTGGCAATAGATATTTGATAATTGATAGTTTATGTAGTGAAGCTGTTATCCAGGAAGGACAAAATGGAGATAATCTCCTACATTTTCTTCTTTCCTGATAACTAGAAAGAGTAGCATAAAACATTCAGCAAAATCAAATTCATATGAATTATATTTATCAAACATTATAGCATTTTATGCCGTGAGCAATTTTTTTTAAAGTTTCATCTTATATCAGAATTTTTTGATATAAACTTCAGATGTCTGCTTATTTCTCAGTTGAACCTTGGTCTACAATGGACATACCTAACCATCAAAATACAATAAAATCCACTGAAATACCTCCTCTTCGTGTTCTTCTTCATCTTCTACGTTTTGCTTTGAAACTATTTCACTCCTTGCTTCTGCAATTCCATTGCTATTTATGTATACATTCTTTCCACAGCACAAACTGCTCTGCTTCTGAAGAGCAGTATTAAAAGTTTTTTGCTGCTGTGCCTGAATTTATAAAGTGCACACAATCAAGAAAATAATCAATGAGGTCTCTTTTACATCCTAAGAAACAAATGCAAGTCATAACGAGGGCAGAATGCTTTAGCTGGATCCAGCAAACCTCAGCATTTTTCAAAATAGTGGATGCAGTGTGGCAAACTTGCTGTGCAGCTGAATATATGATGGAAACAAATGTGGAAGAAGGATGCTAAACCTTCTTTCAACCAACCCAACTGAAGTGGGGGATGATATAAGGAACGGAAAGAAGAAGGAAAAAAATATATAGTGGGCACATGAAAGCTTCAGTCCTTAAAACACTCTGGCTCCACCCAAGCACATCCACTTTACAGCCGGTCAGCAGAATGTACCCTTGGCAAAAGAGCCCAGCATGGTCAAATATTTTTGACAGAGTGTTTATGGGAAGAAGACAAACATCCACCCAATTCTAGACCCCTCTCCAAGGTTTTTGCCACATATCTAGAGTTACACATGAAGGCTTTCCAGAATGATTCCACTGGTTTTATTTTGGCATGCAACCAATGTGAATCTCATTCATTCAGTTTTACCATTTAGATGTAAAACTGTATTTTATCATTCAAAATGGGTAGGAAAAGGCTATGTTCCTGTAAAGAAGGCTGACATATATGTATTCATAATGATAATAAAGAGGCACTTGGATGCTATACTTTTATCAGAGAAAGTTCCCTGAGAATAGGAACAAAAGCTAAATTTGATTGTTGCAGCCAGGCTTTATTTAATAATATATCAAAATGAGCATTTCAGGATGTTTACCTGTTTCATTGCCATTTCACCAATTTTATCTGAATGCTTCCGGATGCTCTCCAAGAAGTCCTTCAGATCTGACATGGAAATCCCTTTAATTTCCTCACGAAGCTTTGGAAGGTTCCCCATCATGATTTGGCAAAACCGATACTGACTAACTCTAGGGAAGTATATGTTTTCTAGCTGTTCCATTGTTTTTAGAGCAGAATAATATCTAGGGAAAAAACAAGAAACCATATTTTTTAAGACAGAAAGGGAGGGGGAAATATAGCAAGCATATTTTTTTAAACAAACAAAAAAAGATAGCCTAAATTCCTGAATAATCTAGTCTCATATAAGAGTGGAGAAGAAAAGGAGGAAGAAATGATACTGGATACACTTTAGAAGGGTTTTTTTTAAATTACTGCTCGCTAAAAGACTAAAAACATTCGGAACCTCAAGTTTGATTGTGTTTGCTGGGTGAATTCTCCTTCAATCATTTAATAAAGAAAATTATGAATAAAATTTTGTAAGAATTTTTTCAGAATATACAGCAAAAGGGTAAATACAGTGCTGATTTTATAAAATTGTAATGGATTAAAGGTTCAGAAGGATTTGAATTAAAGACTTTGAAGTTAATTAAAAGGCCCTTTTCCTGTGGGAAATATTTTTGTTTATATCTAAATAACTGATACGACAACTCTGAAGTTAGACACTAGAGGGCACTAGAAGGAAATAAATATATTAATGGCTTTAATGGCTACTCTAAAGTATTTTTGTGTTGAATGGGTGAAATAATTATAATGCTCTCTGCTATTATAGAATTGGAAGATTTTATTGATGAGAAAGCTCCACTGAATAAAATTGAAATTGATCCGAATATAGATTTAAAAATGATAACTTATAAAAAGAGAGGGAAATAATTGATTTACAAATGATACTGGATGATGATTTGATAATTACAAAAGACATATGAATAGCAGGAAAATTATGTGGATAATTTCTCTACAATGGATTTTCAAAATGGACATTGGAATTGTCAAAGATTTCGTAAGAAGTGACAGTGAAAATATGAACAGCGATATGGACATTTTTTCTTTACTGAATTTAAACTTCAGAATGCCAACAATTCTGAGAGAAAAGATAAAGAAAATATGAAGAAAGTAGGTGTTTAGATTTTGTTTGAGGGAACTAAAGATTGTTGACAGAAAGTAAAAGAATACAAAATCAGTTTATTTAATCAAGGTTAATATAAGTGGGTTACTATTTCTGGTAATGTCTAATGGATTTTAACAGTTTGGGATTATATGACAATGTTTTAAGGATTTTGTTAGTGAAGATGGAATGTTATCTCTGGTGAAGTTTAATGGATTTTTGATTAAGATTGGATGACAATGCTTTAAAAAATTTATTTGAAAATGAGGTGGGGGTATTTAAATAGAAAATGTAAAAGGATGGATTTAAAGTGGGTTTATTAGGAGTTCTGGTGGTGCAGTTGTTATAATGCAGTATTGCAGGCTAACTCTCCTGAGCCCATCAGGAGTCCGATCCTGATGGGCTCAAAGTTGACTCAGTCTCCTATCCTTCTGAGGTCAGTAAAATGAGGACCTAGACTATTGGGAGCAGGACAAAAAGCAACGGATGGAAACTAATCAAGGAGAGAAGCAACCTGGAACTAAGGAGAAATTTCCTGACAGTTAGAACAATTAACCAGTGGAACAACCTGCCTCCAGAAGAGGGGAATGCTCCAACACTGGAAATTTTTAAGAAGAGACTGGACAGCCATTGTCCGAAATGGTGTATGGTTTCCTTCCTGAGTAGGGGGTTGGACTAGATGACCTCCAAGGTCCTTCCAACTTTATTATTATTATTATTATTATTATTATTATTATTATTATTATTATTATTATTATTATTATTATTATTATTATTATTATTATTATTATTATTAATATTAATATTAATATTATTAATATTAATATTAATATTAATATTAATATTAATATATGCTGATATTATAAACCACTCAGAGAATGCTGTAAAACACTATATAAGTCTAAGTGCTATTGTTATTATTAATGTAATTCGAATATTACTAAGATGGAGGGATAAAGTCTTAAAATATTATAGAGAATGGAATGAGACATGGAAAGAAATGGCATTAAGCTTTTTTTTTTTTTAAAAAAAGATGGTGTTACACTGATTACACTTGCTGGGGAAGAAGAGGAAAATTTCTTTTCTTTTTTATTTCTTCATTTTTTTTAGTTTCAATTGGTTTCTTTCTTTTTATATATATTTTTATTCTCTGTAGAATGTATTAATTTTATTTGTATAACATAATTCTTAATAAGATTATTACCAAAAAAGTATATTGGTGATATATAAATCCTAAGGGAGACAGAGATTGAAAAATAGTAAGATTTTTAAAAAAATAATTAGAGAAGGATGAAAGCAAAGCATTTACCTATATTGTACTCTTTTTCTAGTGGCTTTTCAACATAATTAAAATACATATAGACATTAAATTGTTAGATCAAAGAATGCGACTTATAGGGTGTATCTCACCAGGAATTGTTATAATTATATTATATACTACATTTTACTATATTATGTATTATATCAAAAACAAATAGAAATAATTATTCATTTTTATTTATAATTATAATTATTCATTATTAATATTCACATATTCATTTAGAGCTTGTTTTGAAAGTTGTATGGTGTACCAGATGACAACCGAAGTCAAATATTAACCAGCGAGAAAAATCTCTATTTTGCTATTTTGATCATGTATTAACTATTTGTTTTTAAATAATAACATCAAATCAAAAACTGGAATTATAAACCAAATTTAATTATTTCAATTTCATGCATATGACTTAAAAGTTTAATTTTTAAAGCCAATTACTAACTCTTCAAAATACGTTATTTTTCCTCATAATAATTGTTCATTTGTAATGAAAAGCATGGAACAAAGACTGGAAAAGAATACAATGACCAGACCAAATTCATTAAATGTCCTCGCTAAAGTAAGCTTTACTACTCCATAAGTAATTGCAATAGACAAATGGATGAACCATTAAAACATTTAATTGAGTTAAAAATGATTAATTCACCTTCTGACATTCATCTGCTCTTTTAATTTGCTGTACATCTCCAATACTGTAAGAAAAAAAAATGTTAACTGTCATAAATTTCACTATAAAATATATAACCAAATACAGAGGCTTTCCAAATGATCAGATTTGTATATAAATGCATTTTTGACATTGTGAAAGTATTACAACATAAGGATCAAAACTTAAGGGGGGGAAATCAGTAAAAATAGGAATTTTAGAAAGTTAGTTTAGGTGGATCTGAAAGCATTTTTAAACTTTGTTTTAACTTATTTATCTTTATTGGCCACCCAATGCAGTGAAAATTACAATGGATTCACAGCCAAAAATAGATCACTGCTGTTGGCAGGAACATCTGTTACAGGAAGAACACATCAGGGAACCATGGTGTTTTACAGATAATGGTAAAAATGTAATGTTTCTCTATTTAATTAAAACCAAATGTCAGAAAGGGGGATTTGGGAAATGATGTATATGACGATGTTTCAGCTTATCTTTTAAACTTTGGGAGTTCCATGAATGGTTAAATAATATTTGTATGGTTAAATAATATTTCTATTAATATTATAAACAATATTCCATCTTTGAATTTCCTATCAATATCCTGGATATAAATGAAGAAATTAAAAAAAAGTTTAAAAAGATAACTGATTTAAACTCATTTAAACATCCCTTTTAAGTCTTTAAGCAATAGTTTCTCCAGAAAATACCCTGTATCCCAAACATAAGCTCAATTTTGTATTAGTTATGTTGAAATATATCTACATTTCACTTTGGTAGTGACATTTGGAGGTATTCTACATTTGGCATTTAAATATTTGTAACTAACCTGGAAGGCACAACTGAAGTTTTTCGACCACGGTCATAATATTCCTCTGCTGAAGTCTACTCTGGATGACTTCCTCTGTCTGAGCTAGCACCTTGAGTATTTTCAAACATAGTATAGTTAAATTAGGTACACATATGTCACATTCCATAAAACATTTGTTGAATTAATTGCAAAAGCCATTTTCTTACCTCTTTCCCAGCTTCTTGAAGTCTTCTGTTTGTATCAGTAACTTGGACCTTAAAAATGATTTCACCTTTATTAGAAAAATATGCATATAATGCCCTGATGCAACTGCTCACCCTTGTAATCAGATCATGCTTCATGAGAAACTTAGAACAAAGAAATGTAAATCCAAATTAACTCTACAGCTTGAACTTGAACTTTTGATCACCAAGGGTTTTTGTTAACTTCAATTAATTATGACAGTTCTTTCTAACAGATTCAGTGGCAAACTTCTCAAAGTTACTTGGGATTTTTGAACTTTGTTTCTATAGGTCTGTCAAACAATTCAAATCATTGACCCAATTGACCACTGGTCCTTCTTTGATAACCTCAATGAGCTCTATGTGTCATTCATTGTCTGCAAGAAATGGTGATTGCATTTTATGGTAATTAAACATTCATACTTTGCTGAATGCAAACACTGGGAGGTTGATTAACATCAAACGTGGATATTGCCAGCCAAGCGACATTTTAATGCTGCAGGTGCAGGCAGTGCTCGACCTCAGAGTTTCCCACATATTAAGTGACTCATTAGGTCATCATAATAAGGGAGCACATTCTAGTTTATTAAAAAACTCATTAAATTCTGAACAAAGATGCTCAATGACCTCATTGAGTCTCTAGTTATATGAATATCCTTTATATAATGCTGTTCTACTCATAACCTCTGGTGAACTATGCTCATTCTGTCTGGTGCACATATTTTTCTTACAAATGTGCAAAGGGAGCTAAGAGGGACTATTTCCACAATTTATTTCTGAGGAAATCTCACAGTATGTTTTCAAGAAAAAAAATCCCAACAATTTCAGCCACTTTTTGGAGAAACATCTGCAGGGAGAGGAAATTTCCATACTAGATCTGGGCACTCAGAAAAAAGTATCTCAAAAATATATCTTGGCCCCCTCAGTGAATTAAGCAATTCTGTGAAGGTCTTACCGGGACGGTGCCTGCAAGCTGTGAGGGTCTGGATGGGGAACCACAGGCTTCAGCTGAATCCTAGCAAGTCACAGTGGTTCTGGCTTTTATAGCTTGCCAATTCCAGGACTATGTCATTTTTAGTGCTGGATGTGGTTGCACTGCCCTAGTCACACCTGGTGCATGATCTGAGGGTCCTCCTGGAATCATGACTCCTGCTCAAAGAGCAGGTGACAGTCATGATTAGGAGCGCTTTTGCACAACTTTGTATTTTGTGCCAGTTTTTCCCATTCCTAGATCAGAAAGTCCTGTTCATGGTCACTCATGCCCTAGTTACCCTTCTATTGGACTACTATAATGCACACTTCATGGGTCTGCCCTTGAAGAATATCTGGAAGCTTCAGCAGGTTCAAAATGCAATGACACAGGCAGTTATGTTTGCTTCTAGAATACACAACATTATATCTCTGCTTTGCAAGCTGCAGTGGTTGCCAGTGCGCTTCTGAGTCCAATTCAAGATTCTGGTTTTGATACATAGTACTCCCTAGCATGGGGCAATTTATCTGAGGGACTGCTCCATTATTGTTAACATCTGCTGTTAACATCTGTTGTTAACATCTCTTAGCCTTGTGATTTTTATTTTTTTAATACTTGTTATATTTTTATTGTTTTAAACTTCTATAATTTGTTGTATGCTACCCAGATTCACTTTTTGTGAGATGTATGCACCCATATAAATTTAACATATAAACAAATCAATACTTTGTAAAATATTTAGAGTTGATCTAAAATAATCTACCTAATTATTTATATTTAATTACTAAAAGTAATTGTAGCATTTTCATGGCATACTGTAGTTCTTTCGTTACTATTGTAATGTTTTGAGTCATTATTCACAAGCATCTAAAGATATCAATATTTTACTTTGAAAAAGAACATGTGGCAATAAATCCTGCATTCTAGTACTGCACAAAATAATCCTTTCATTTAAAAAAAATATTTTAAAAACTGCAGCTCCTTACCTTTAGTTTTCCTGCATCAGCCCTTACTTTAAGAAGTTCTGTAATGGCATCCACAAATCCTTGATGGTGAAAATTGCACATTTTTTCAATCTCTTTGTCATGATTACGTATACATGCATCCAATTTTTCCATAAACTTTTGGTGTGCATTTGGCTGGTCATCATACACAGACCTATCAATAAGTACATATAAACAAAACGTGAATAGAAATTAATATTGTCTTCTAAACATGACATTGCTTAAATTGATTCAGCGGTGGAACTCATCCACCTGTCTACTCATTATATGTCCAAAATATACATTTATAAAAAAGGAATGCCACTACAGAAAAAAAAAAATCTTCAAGTATTCTTTTGTTATTTTTCATGCTTCTAACTCAAAAGTATTCAGTTAGCCCCCTCTAGTGGACACAGCCCAACATTACCCAAAACTGTATTCATGGATAAGTAAAGAAAATCCAAAACCAAAATTAGTATTTTTTTAGAATGCATTTACTTGTCTCATTTTTGAATACAATGATACAAACTATAATAGATGATTTCATTTCCCTCAGCATTTTGCTCATTTTGATTTGTATTTTGTGAATTCCAAACAAACTCAGGATATCTCAGTCAAGATTCCCACCCTGAAGCTAGACACCGAATTAGATTTCAGAATGATATTTTCAGTTCTTGTTCTCCTTGCCAGTCCAATGGCAAAAGGGCCATTTATTTACAGGACTGCTGCACTACCTTTCATCAGAAAAAGGACCAGCTCAAGGAGTTGCATATTTGTAAGTTCCATGGGGTTTTTTTTGTTTCTACAAGCACAAAACTTAGAAATATCTAAGTTGATAAATGCTATTGGCGCTGATGCAAAGAGAGGGGAGAAACTGTGGCAGAGGGAGGTAGTCTAACCGCACCCCTTTTATACATGCACATTTTATATGGGCCCACATATATGGTCATGTGTTCCTTCTTACAAGCTAATATAGCTTGAGAATATCTGCCTGTCCCATGACATTGGATAGGTCAGGCATGCCCCAGTTCCCTTTCCTGAAATCCTGCCAACTAGTGGGATCTCAGAAGCAGCCCATTTCCATGGCTGTCCCTACCTGATGGGATCGGTAGGCCCACATTCTCTCAGCCTTCCAAAAGGCCGTCTTGAGTGGGCTTTTTACCCAGGCACTGGGACAGAGTCAAGATGTCTGGAGTTGATTGTGGGGCCTTCCAAGGGAAAGACTGAGGCGCCGGGTTTTGTTTTGGTTTTATACTTTATGGGTTTTATTGATCTGGGTTTTATTGTTGTTGTGAACCACCCAGAGTTGTGTTTTGAGATTGGCATACATATCTTTTAACCAAATAAATAAAAACATGTAAGAAAACCAGAACAGACATAGAGCAGTGTAGAATAACAACAACAACAAAGTGAAGTCTAACAAAGAGATCTGGAAAGCATCTAGAGAGGTTATTCTAGAAGCAGTCAACACCAAAGCATTAGCATGCAGTCACATATAAAAATAACATTGGGCAAATATATTAAGAGATAAGTTATGTTTAGTGAAATAAAAAAATGTCAGCAAAGATAAAAGCAAACAGCATTTGTTTGCTAGAATTTTTATCTTCTTGTTTTGACATTCCACTTCTTGCTACTTTAATTGTTTAGACCCATATCCCCCCATCTGGAACCATCTCACCAACTCCCAGAAATGCCATTTTCAGGAGGGCTTATTATATCTTCATGTTCCTAATTTAAAAAGCTACTAATATATATTTTTATAAATTAAAAAAAATCAAGGCATTCTTCTACATAAAAACAGGTTTCTCATACTTTTATGTTAATACATAAATAAAATTTTACATGCTAAATGTTTAGTTTAAACAACTTTCTTTCCACTACAACTGTCTGAGATTAGATAGTCTCAGTATGTTCTAAGTTCAGTCTATTCCACCCCATCATGTTTTTCTTCTCCATTTTTAAAATCTTACATCTGAGAACCATTATAATATTTTGCTTTAAAGAAGGCGATCCCCAGTAAAAACTGCCTGACTCAATTTACCTTAAATGGTTTTTTATTCTGGGGATATGATGTCTTGAGCTCTCAAAGAGAAACTTGATAAAAATGAAATAAACATATCTTAAATAAATCATCCTGATAGCTGCAATGCCCTTTGATGCTAATATTTCTGGAGGGAAGATGATTTTAATCTCTTTTTATTTTCCCAAACCTTGTAAGATTTCCCTCTCCAGCTATCTAAGCGTTTTAGCAGTAACTGTTCCTTCATAGGAATTGATTTCTTATTAAGGCAAGTATGGAATACCTCATTATTGGGAAATAGTATGCTACATGCTGGAAAACAAACATATTCTAAACATATTTTGGTGAAAAGCCAGCAGAGAAAAGTGAGTTTGTCACTAAAAACATGTTTTTAGCATGTAGGTCCTTATAATATCAAAATGTGAAAGTTCAAGTTCTGTCTTAAAGGCTGCAGGGTATAATATACACATACCATTTATTTCACAAGCCATTTGCAATTCAGCATGAAAACAGGACAAATCTAAATCACCTAAAAATTCATGTTCTTTATGTTGTATGGAAACAGTGCCACCTTGTGGAAATTAACATTCTCATCATGAGCAATTACACGATGTGATATTTTTAACCCCTCTAAACTGATCTGGGATATAGATCTGAAATAACAGTTAATGTATTTTAACAGACACAGTAATAGAAACAGACAATTTATACAACATGGGTTTTCTTCTGAAGAGAGGGAATCAACAATTAATCACCAGCAACATTAACTCATCATATTCAATAGTAATTCTATTCATACAATATATTGCATTTTGCCCAACTATTTTAGTTATCTACCAGCACAAAATTCTAAATATAAGAAAACAGCCCAATATTTATATGTAACCAGACTTGAATATCATAGGTAGACTTTCTCCTCTCTTTGCTTCTGTGAAAAGAAGAGGGCACCTCAGGCTGAGAAGAACAGAAGCTTATATTAAAAAGAGTGAATGGATAAGATGAGATGAGATGAAATGAGATAAACGATAAGATAACCTTTATTGTCATTTTGTTTACTGTGGGCATACTGGCACACATTAAAAAAGAAATTCTGTTGCTTGCTCTCAAAAGCGTACACATACATAATACACATATAAACATGCTATATACAACATATGTATATACCTACACCCTTACATATAAATACATACAAATATTAATCACTGTCCATCTTGAGAATGGAGAAAGGGACATGTTGTGAACGAAGCCTCCTTGCTAGGCATTCACAAAACTGCAACGTACTTCCCAGGTGCAAAATGTATTATTTCCTTGAATGGAGATGCTTTGCCATTTATAGAAAATCAGTGTTCCCAAGCTTCTTCCTTTGTTGGAAGGGAAAAATGGATTCTTACATTCAAAATTCGAGTCCCGAACTCTAAAGGAAAGTTATGGATCAAGACTAGCATAAATAAAGGATAGCTTCATTTCCCACATCTATTTAGCGCCCCCAAGAAGTTGGGGTGTTCAGATAACTGAAGCAAATGAGCTTCTTGCTTCAGAAACTGATTTTTCTAAAATTAGGAATCATATATAGTAAGGGATTGCATTAGGTTTAATTTCTGTTTTCTGTGTCAAGCATCATTGCCTTAACATTCAGCTAGTGAACTGGGAGTAATTTCAGCCTTCCATACTTCCAGTAATTGCATACTTCAGGCTGAGCTTGAAAGTATTATTCGGTCTGCAGTAATGTACATTCTGCTTCAATGTCATTAGTGTTTGTTTGTTTTTTAAATAGCAGACCACTGCCATCGTGTGGTCTGGCTGGAATACTGCATTTTCTTTTGAATTTTTGGAATGCGTTTATATACAGCAATCTGAAAAACACAGTAACTTATTTCCTTTGACATTCAATGTAAACATGGTAATACTGAAAATCAATTTTTTTTATATTTTGCCTTTTTAAAAGACCAGTTTCATTTTCTTCATCTCTCATGAGTAACTGTTGGTTTTCTATGGCTGTCCAATTTGCAAATCGTGACTCTGGACACCTAACATCTACCAGAATCTATGTATGCTAATACACACACACAAAACACACATTCACACACTTTATATATATCCACTTTATATTCCAATTTACCATTTTCTGTAACAGCTAAAGAAACATCTCCCTTATCTTATCTGTTATTTATGAACAAATCTTTAAAGTCTAATCATACAGGACTGAGCCAAAAAATAAGTTCCATTAATAGCTACAGAGGTATTAAATCCCTCCCCCAAAAGTTCCATTAATAGCTGCAGAAATCACAACATATATTATTTTAACCCAGGTTGAACAAATCTACTTTATAGTCCTTCCATTTACCTTTTAAAGTTTGGTCTTTAATCCCTTCCAATAATGTCCCAGAAGTTGATTTCTTGTCTTTTTCTCTTTGTCTCCTCTCAGGAATTCCTTCACTAGTTTAACATGTCTCTTTTGTAAGAAAGCTTTCCAAATCACTTTTCTGATTTATCTGAATGTCCTCTTTAATTATTTAGATATCAGCAGGTCTCATTTGTTTCATTCAGGGGTCTTCAAACTTGGCCCTTTTATGATTTGTAGACTTCAACTCCCAGAATTCCCCAGCCAGTGTGTCTGGCTGAGGAATTCTGGGAGTTGAAGTCCACAAGTCATAAAAGGGCCAAGTTTGAAGGCCCCTGGAAACCACTGTGGCATCTTATTCACATTACTCTCAGAGTCAGGCATTTTTAAACCTATTTTCAAATCCACATACAGCTCAGTCTTAGGTTCAATTTTAACCAATAAAATCTGTTCCTTTTCTGCCATCCCTATTAAATCTATTTCTATACCGGTAGTCCTGGGTATATTATTCCCGAATATCCTTGATTTCTTCTATAGTCAAATAATATTGTTCCCATGTATTAACGGGTCACTTCTTTAATTGTAATCTTAAATTCACTCTGGCTTCCTTTAATTAATCTTCAAATTCCCCTCTTATCTTATATCTATTTACTGATCAACAAACCTTTCCCACATGAGGTTTTTTTAATAATTAATTTCAAAATCACACACAGACACACGCACACAGCCCATCTGGTCCCTTAGCCTTCCAAAATCAACATTCTAGTCTACCTTTTGCTGTTTTCCAAAAGTATTTTTTTCTTAATCCTTAAAC